TCATTTTTTAATTCTACTTGACGCTCTAATTTAGAAGCCATTTTAATAGCAATTCTTAAATCATTAATATTATCTTTTGAAATCAATAACATAATAGTATCATTGCATAAGCCTCTTAAAAATCCAGATATCGCTTCCTCTACGAGTAAAGATTTTATTCCAATCAACTGTTCATCGTTAAATTTTTCTCGCGCCGCTTCTAATCCTTGATCTAAAATTTCATGTACTCTAGTCCCAAAAATCTTCAATAGTTTCGTAATCCTTTCGTCTTATTATTTTTAATTCCTCCTGCGCGACCTTAATATCAAAACTTAATTCATATGCATTTTCAATTAATTTTATCAAATCTTCTACGCTTTTCGGTTCCACAGTTCCAACTATTCTACTGTAATCACGCTTCTGTATTCTATTCCGAATTAAAGTCAATAAATAAAATTTATCATCCAGCCCAACTAATGAATCGGCGAGTCTTAATTGACTAACAAAATTAGTTACAGAGCTGGATTTCCCGTCAAAATGTGGAATGAAGCTCGAGATGAAATCGAATGACATTCGCAATGTGCCTTTCCGAGATCTACAGGATGAACAAGACGAGTTCATGTCCATTGCACTACCAACAGAAGTAGATCTAGAATCCGATACAGACATATTAGATTCACGAGGTGAAGAAGATGAGTTCTGCATCACACTCAGATCTCTTATTTGCGATACACAAGAAACACCATGCGTTTCTGTCACTAGTTCCTCCACTTCGAAAGAATCACTACAATTCAAGCTTGTTTTTTGAACTTTCTTAGCGCTTTTGAATTTTTTTGCAAATGGCGGCATTTTCGCAATATAAATATATTAACAACGTTATGTGACGAACAACTTAATATATGTATATATATTAAATTCGAATAAACACAATTATTAAAACTAATACAACACGCGTTGAACAATTAGAAATTTTAAAATTGAAACGTCTCACGAATCTTTATCAGCGTGTGGTCTTCGGGGAAGATGAGCTTTCACGAATCTCCATTAGCGTGTGGTCTTCGGGGAAGATGAGCTTTCACGAATCTCCATTAGCGTGTGGTCTTCGGGAAAGGTGAGCTTTCAGCGGCCACCGAAAATCACTCCTCTTCGGTATTCACCCAGGCTCTTGGGAAAACCGCTCAAAACCCAAGAGAAAGAGAATGCTGATTCGACGAAATCCCAGTGATTCAAAATGTTTCTTGTGAGCCGGCGAGCCAAGTTGAGGATGTATAAACTTTAGCGTATCCCACCGCTGTCACCAAATTTGCTGCAGTCTTTTCCAGGGATTTCTTTTAAAAGAGATAAATCAGGCGTGAATCCTCGCCCGTGGAGCCCTGAAGAACTCTGCTCATTAGGAAATTTTAGACTTCTTTTAAAGGAGACAACTTTAATTTGAAGAACACGTCTTTATTTATCGAGGGTCAATACTGGAATGGTCTCCTTTACAAAACGATCGTTTTTGTTACATCTTGTTAATTACAATATGTCCTTAGATACCAGGAGCCAATAAAATAATTATTAAATTATGAAATAATTCCTGATTTGTTAATACATTTCTTTCAGCTATTCATTTTATAATTTTCAAGTGTTTAACATATTTGCCATGATTTAATATATTTTAGAGAAGGAGTAAAAGCGAAATTCGACTGTTAAAATATTCATCCCTAAACAAATATTAATTAATTGAAATATGCATTTTAAAAGAATGCAAAGCTGATTTCAGTTGCTCTTAAATAATGTCAACTTCACTTCTATCTCCTTTTCTAATTACAATCATATACCTTAATTTAAATTTCACGCTTGTGAAGCTTACGCTAGACGCCGCTACAAGATGAGGGCGAGATTCACAACAATACTATTCTAATGGGAGTTAGCAGTACAGATGGCGTGAACTGCTACTTGTGTGTGGCGTTGAGGGACGCTAGGGATATTACGTCCCGGCCACTGTAGCGCGGAGGTTAAATAATACTGCCACGTGTATGGAACAAAGACTTTATTGTCTACGAGTCGTGAACATGCTGTAGCGACAGCGGTCACGATGGATCTGCCACTCGCAGGCGGCAACGCTCTTTCTTCTTGCGGGAGAAAACGACACAACGGAGGGAGAGAGACGGCAGTATCCGCTCCCTACACATTCCCCCCCGAGTGTATACACTACCTAGATAGGCACGTGTTTCGAAAATGCAATCGCAAACGCTATGATACAATATATTAATACGCTCCTTATCGCTAATTAAACAACACATAGAATATAGTCACACAAAATATACATTATGATGAAACAAGACATACAATATAATACTCTGCTTATTGCTAATTAAACAAGCCACACGATATAATATGCTGTACACATAAGTCTTAAAACTAACGCAGGTACTACAACTAAGTTAAGGCGTTTTATAAGTGCGCACCGCTGGATCGGGCGCGAACGTGACTCTTCTGCGCGAGTACGTTTTTAAACTAAGCGGCCTCGAAGTCGCGGACGAATCGTTGCTTACGGGCACGCTCGAATCGTCGAGATTATCTGGGACGAAGTGCGCGGGTTTTAAGAGCTCGACGGAGACACTTCTGGCGGAACCGTTAACGTCAATATTAAAGACGCGATCGGACACGCGCTGCAAAATCTTATGCGGACCTGAATAAGGCCTCACGAGTGTCTTTTTTGCTACGTTTCGCATGAAGACATGCGAACAATTGTGGAGTTCTTTGAAGTAGAACGCACGTTTCGCATGCTTGTGCGCTACGGGCACCGGACGAACCTGACGCATGTACTCGCGTAATTCCTCGAGGAAGAAATTTGGGTCGTGTGAAATATCTTCCGGAAGGAAGAACTCACCGGGAAGGCGCAAAGTGGTGCCGAACAGAAATTCTGCGGGGAACGCATCAGTGTCCAGCCGCACATGGGATCTGAGACCCAGCAAAACCGTGGAGAGAACTCGCGACCAGTTTGCATCCGCATGGCTCATGATTGCGGCTTTGAAAACGCTATGCCATCTCTCTATCATGCCGTTTGACGCGGGGTGATACGCCGTCGTACGAATACGGCTGCACCCTATTAACGACAGGAGTGCCGAAAACAGACGGGATTCGAACTGAGCACCCTGGTCGGTAGTTATGACCTTGGGTGCACCATACCGTGAAATCCAGGTGTCGTAGAACGCCCTGGCTACCGTTTGGGCCGTAATATCCGGCAGAGGAACAGCCTCCACCCAACGAGAGAATCTGTCGATCATCGTTAGACAGTACGTACATCCCTGTGACGAGGGCAGAGGTCCTACAATATCAATATGAACTTAGTCGAAACGACCATCAGGGGCGACGAAATGCTCAGGAGTTTGACGGACATAACGCGAGACCTAGGATTGCTGGCACGCGGCACAGTTCTTGCACCAAGATGCAATATCTCGATGCATATCCGGCCAGACATATCTCTGACGAATCATGCGGTCAGTGATCTTGCCGCTAGGGTGGGCGGGATCATGAAAGGTGTGGAAGACTCTTTCGCGAAGGCTCGCCGGAATATATGGACGAATTGCCTCGCCAGAAATCTCGCAGAAAACTGGAGCTTGCTCTGGTCCCCACAGGATGCTCTTCAATTTCAACGAATGATCCGAAGCACCGCGAATCAGCTGTAGCTGAGTGTCAGAGCCTTGCAATCTTGCAAGCTCGTCGAGGTCGAATTCTAAAGAGAGACGAACAGCGTCAATCCTCAAAAGGAAATCGGCGACGGTGTTCTCCGTGCCTGCCACATGTTCAATACGCGTAGTAAATTGCGCGATGAATGAAAGCTGGCGCAGCTGCCGATGAGAAACCTTATCGGACCGCTGCATAAAGGCATACACTAAGGGTTTGTGGTCAGTAACCACCCTAAAGTCGCGACCCTCGAGGAAGTGACGGAAGTACTTGATGGCCTCGTATACGGAGGTCAGTTCACGGTCGTACGCGCTGTATTTCTTTTGCGCCGAAGAGAATTTCCGCGAAAAGAATGCGAGGGGTTCCTACGAACCCGAAGAACGCTGTTCGAGAGCCGCTCCCATAGCGAAATCCGAAGCGTCTGTGACGACACGCAAATCTGCGCCTACACGTGGATGCACCAGTAACGCTGTGTTGGCAAGGTCTGATTTTACCTTTTCAAACGCGTGTACCGCATCCCAGGACCAAACAATTTCACGTTTGTTATTCTTCCGAGAATCGGTGAGAAACGCGTTCAACGGGGCCTCTGATTCTGCCGCGTTGGGAAGGTTACGACGATAAAAATTCGCCATCCCCAGAAAACGTCGAAGCTGAGCGATGGTTTTTGGCTGGGGATAATTGGTGGTCGCGTCAACCTTTTTCGTCGTGGGCCGAATGCCTGCACTGTTGATCGAATATCCGAGGAACTCGAGTTCGGAGGCGCCGAACACACACTTGTCGGCATTCAGACGGAGGTGAAATTCCTTGAGCCTTCGAAACACAGCGCGTAAGTGCTTTTCATGATCCTCTAAGGATTCGGAAGCAACAAGAATGTCGTCTATATAGACGAAGACGAAATCCAAGTCACCCAGCGCACGATTGATGTAACGCTGAAATGACTGGCTGGCATTCCTAAGCTCTAGCCCGAATGTCATGAACAGGTATTCAAACAAGCCGAACGGCGTAATCACCGCCGTCTTCTCGACATCTTCCGGAGCCATAGGAATTTGGTTATAGGACTTGTGCAAATCGAGAGACGAAAAGACCTTTTTTCCATGAAGATTGACAGAACAATCATGGAGATGGGGAGTCGGATATTTATCCGGCGTAGTTACCGCATCAAGGCGGCGGTAATCGCCACAGACTCGCCAGGAACCGTCCTTCTTAGGAACAAGATGGATCGGGCTCGCCCAAGGGCTGCGAGACGGGCGACAGATGCCAGCCGCAACCAAAGCTTGAAATTCGGCTTTGGCTGCACAGAGTTTCTTCAGGGAGAGACGCCTAGCGCGCTCCGCAACCGGAGGACCAGAGGTGAAAATGTGATGTACCACATTATGACCCTCCGGGGGCGTTAAAAGGGAAGAACCCGTTATCTCCGGGAAATCGACTAGGATTTCCGCGCACCTGGAACCAGGATTGACCGTATGCACTGAATGAATCAGTGCCGGTCTGACAATTGCAATAGAGTAGACCTGCGTCAAGGAATCGGTGAGGTGACGCCCTCGAAGGTCGACTACCAATCCATAGTGACGCAGGAGATCAGCGCCAATAATTGCGCACGGAACTGCAGCAATGCAGAAATTCCACTTAATACAGCGCCTCAGGCCCAAGTCTAACTCGCGAAACGACTCGCCAAAAGTGTCTATACGGGTATTGTTCGCGGTGCACAATTTGAGGCCCGCTGGTTCGCCCCTAATTTTCATGTTCGCCGGGATCAGCGAAATATCGGCACCCGTGTCAATTGAAAAGTATTGACCGCTTTTTCGGTCGCGAATATGGAGGCGATTGGATTCCCGGGCACCCTCCGCGACGGCCTCCGCGCGGGAAGGTGAGACTAGTTTTTTTGTTTGCCAGGAGGCAAACTTGGCACACCAACTTTTACAAGAAGTTGGGTTTTCCGGGTACCTAGTGTGCGCGACACACAACCGGGGTGTCACGCGCTCCGCGAAACGGCCGCGGTTCCCACTCGAACGCGAGCGCGACGCCGTACGAGAACGCGGTCCAGTATTTCGCGCCTCTAAACGCGCCACGCTCTCGAACAGGGACGTTAGGACGGCTGAAATCCTCTTCAGGTCGCTCTCCATACTGGACATTTAAGCGACCTAATCGACAACGATCTTTAATAGCCTGTTTCGCAACTATACTGGGTTATCCGGACTTGCTACATGTCGAACGACGAAATAAACATGTCGGGCGACGCATAATGGATGTCGAACAGACGACAAACAATGGACGCTCACCGGCCGCACGCAAGACGAACAGAAGATGCGCGAACGACGAACAAAGGATGCGCGTCGCGAGAATGGCGTCGCGCGCGTCAATGCACGTGGCCGCCCCGCCTCAACCAAACCACTGCCACGGGGAATGGGCAAATAATGCCATCGTACACGGACGATGCGCGCCACAAAAAATTATGTTCCGCACATTATTTGCGTAGCTACCTTTCCGGCCGCAACACCGCCGTGGAGGATGACGCCGCTGACAAAGATCCTGGGACGGTGACGAAGACCTCCTCGGGACCAGCCACGACGTACCAACAGGCACCGGTGACGATGATTCGGGAACAACACAAGACCTTCCCGTGCAAGGCACCGATGACGATGAATCGGGAACGAAAGCGTGGGTACACGCCGCGTCACACCACTTCAGGCACCGTTGACGACGATTTTCCGCGTCGCGGAACCACGCGACGACAACAGTTATCGCATCAGGATGCCGTGAAGAATGCCTCTCCGGCGGAGCATGCCTGCCAGTAAGGCCAGGAGACGTCCCAGGGCAGAAACGGACCTCCGCAGCGAGGACAACGCGTCAGCGTGTCGATCGGCTCGATGTTCCTTCCAGAATTTTAATGTTTCGGATCCATGGAACTGCCGATCACGTCGGGGTCACCAATGTGGCGTTGAGGGACGCTAGGGATATTACGTCCCGGCCACTGTAGCGCGGAGGTTAAATAATACTGCCACGTGTATGGAACAAAGACTTTATTGTCTACGAGTCGTGAACGTGCTGTAGCGACAGCGGTCACGATGGATTTCTGCCGCACGCAGGCGGCAACGCGATGCACGCGCCTCTTTCTCCTTGCGGGAGAAGGCGACACTGCGGAGGGACAGAGACGGCAGTATCCGCTCCCTACATGTGAATCCTTGTGATTCGATCACGTTCGTTCCCAATCACAGTGATTTTTCACAATGATTCGTGATTTCTCGTGATCGTTTCTGATTGATGGAGAAACCTAACAGTTCTTTACACGCGACACATAATCTGTATATTTTATATTAACAACATCAAAACCAAAATTCAAGTTATATTGTATAAAGTAAAGGAATAATTAGAAACAATGAAGAATAATGAATAAATTAGTGATTATAAATTATAATCTACATGTTACCTAGCAAATCATTCTTTTAGAATTTCTTGTTTTTTCTATTGATTTTTACAAACACAAATAGTAATGTAATTCATCGTAAAATCATATTGAATACGTTTTTCTGTTTAAAGATCAAGAACTTACGATCGCAGTGAGCAAATTCACTCAAGATAAAAAAATTGCAGTCACGGTCGTAAATGAAGTTAAATCACGACTGTGATCGTGATTCGGCGATCACTGTGATAAATTACCGTTAGTGATTTTGCACGCCATCTCTAGTTAACAGGCCGTGGGTGTTGTGATGCATTATATTTGAAATATTTACAGAGGTTTCAAGAAAATATAAGTGTGAAGCATGATAAAACCATCTTTGTACCAAATTGAAGCATTTAAAAATTGATAAAGGTATGTATAAGTTAATAGAAACCTGAAATAGATAAAATTATTTGTACGATGCCAAACAGGTTAAGTGACATTTGGAAAAGAGGTTAGGATAAGTTACTATTGAAAAGAACAATTATGCAGTTGCGGCACGACTGACGAAGAGTGTAGGGATAAAATGGAAATGAGTGAGAGTTGGTATGACTGAGTGCGTGAAGTCGGGCAAGAAGAACGAGATCTTTAGTTAGTAGACTGAGGTGACCACGTGCGAAAAGTTAGAGAAACAAGTTTGAATAAAGCGCAATAAAGGGGCTCGCATAATAGGTGTTTTTATTAATAGAACCCGAGTCCTGGTCCGCTACATATTGGTGACCCCGATTAAAATGAATAAACCATTTCCTTCGACCGCAAACGAAACTCACAAGGTGAGTATAAAACTACCGCCATTTTGGACGGAAAAACCGGAGGTATGGTTCTACCAGGTAGAGGCCCAATTTGAAATCACGGGTATAACGGTGGAAAGTACCAAGTTCAATTATTTAGTAGCCCAGTTGGAACCAAAATATGTTCAAAATATTTGGGATCTCGTTTCCGATAGAACCATAACCGATAAATATACAGCAGCCAAGGAACGGCTTTTAAGCATATTCAAAGAAAGCGAAAATAAAAGGATAAAACGACTAGTTACGGGAATAGAACTTGGAGACACGAAGCCAAGTCAATTATTGCAGAAAATGAGATCTCTAGCGACCGATGATATCTCGGATAAAGTATTAAAAACACTGTGGTTGGATAAGCTTGCGGATAATGTTAAAAATATTTTGCTTGTTTCTGACGAAAATCTAGAAAAATTGGCAATAATGGCGGACAGAATTGCGGAAATGAGCACAGGAACAGAGTGTTATACAACCAGCAGAAATGTGCCCCCTTGGAAGGAAGTTCTGCAGCGGATGTCGGCGATGGAACACCAAATAGAAAAGCTGAGCATAGACCGACAGTCACGTTCACTAAGCCGTAATTTCGGCAGGAATAAAGAAGGCAGCAGAAGCAGATAAGGGGACCGGAGCAAAAGTAGGAAACGGATGAGTTTCAACCCAAAAGGGAAGTATTGTTACTACCACTTTAATTTTGGGGACAAATGTATGCCGGAAAAATGCACACCTCCTTGCGCGTGGAATCATTACAACCAGGGAAAAGCGAATCAGCAGTAGAAGTAGCGACATATTCTACTGCAAATAGTACACAAGATTGTCGCAGATACCGTTTATTTGTAAGAGATAAGAGAACAGGGTTGCGATTCTTAATCGACAGTGGTGTAGATGTTAGTTTGATGCCAGCTACGAAAAATGACAGAGTGAAAGGCGGTTTTAAACTGTACGCTGCAAATAGCACAGAAATTCCTACCTATGGGATTAAGATGTTGACGGTGGACATGGGACTCCGCAGAACGATACAATGGCCATTCATAATAGCTGGAACAACAAGAGACATAATAGGAGCAGATTTCCTGAATAAATTCAAGTTAATAATTGACATCAATAATAGGAAATTAATTGATGGTGTAACAAACCTCGCAATTAAGGGAGAAGTTACATCCATCACTAACAGCTCTACAATTAGCTCAATGGACAAAACGTCAAAATATTACGACATATTAGCCCAGTATCCACAAATTACAAAACCAACTCTGTTAATAGCTGGCGTCAAGCATGACGTCAAACACCAGATAATCACAGAAGGACGGCCCGTGTATTCGAAAGCAAGACAGCTAGATCCGAAGAAGCTGGAACTGGCGAAACAAGAATTCCAGTACATGTTGGACCACGACATCATCAGGCGATCGAACTCTCAGTGGGCAAGCCCGCTGCATATAGTAACGAAAAAAGATGGGACCATTCGCCCTTGCGGTGATTATAGGAAGTTGAACGCCATAACCATCCCAGACAAATACCCCATTCCCAAGATCAACGATTTTAATCACATTTTGAAGGGTAAAACAATATTTTCGAAAATCGATCTTTTTAAGGCATATTTTCAGATACCTATAGCGGAAGAGGACAAAGCAAAAACTGCAATAATTACGCCTTTTGGGTTGTTTGAATTCAACGTAATGAGTTTTGGGCTGAAAAACGCAGCATCTACGTTCCAGAGGTTCATACACCAGGTATTACAGGGATTGGATTTCACTTTTCCATATCTGGATGATATTTTGATCGCATCCACATCAGAGGAAGAACACCGAAACCATTTAAAAGTAATTTTTGAAAGGTTGAATAGGTATGGACTACGAATAAACATGTCAAAGTCAATCATGGGAGTTAAACAGCTGAAATTTTTGGGATATTTAATTACGTTCGAGGGATCAGCCCCTATACCCGAACGGGTGGAGGTAAATTGAATTACAGGTTGCCAGACACAGTCCACGAATTGAGAACTTTCCTCGGTATGATAAATTTTTATCGACCGTTTTTGAAAAACGCCGCAAGTAACCAAGCAGTCTTGCACGAGTATCTACGTGGCTCCAAGAAGAAAGATAGGAGAAAAATCCAATGGACAGATGAAGCGATAAGAAAATTCGAGGAATGCAAGAAAGAACTGGCAGTGTGGCATTACTAGGCTATCCTGATCCGGAATTACCTCTGTCACTCAGTACAGACGCTTCCGATTGGGCCATTGGCGCTGTCCTACAACAATTTGAAAATCAAGCCTGGAAGCCAATAGCTTTTTACTCAAAAAAATTGAATGAGACTCAAAAGAAGTACAGTACATACGACCGGGAATTATTAAGCATTTACCTGGCTATCAAACATTTCAAATATTTGCTGGAAGGTCGTGATTTTAAAATCATAACTGATCACAAACCATTAACCTTCGCTTTTAGGCAGAAGAATGACAAGGCGTCTCCGAGGCAACTTAGATAGCTACAATATATATCACAATTTACTACCAACATAT